ACTTCTTAAAATCCATTTTAACTACTGGCCGTGGGGGTTTCTTCCTTCCCAGCCAAGCTTCCTGAGCCTTGGGGGCCTTCAGACGTTTCAGAGAAATTTTGCTTTTATAGAATCTCCAAATTCTTCTCTTAAAGTCGCGGTTAGCGTTTGGAATATGATTCTTATTACCGTTCATAGCATTTACCGAAGCTTTTCGTTCTCTGAAACGCGCTCCAACCCTTTCAGGCCTTTTGGGGGTTTCGCTCTTCAACCTAGGCTGAAGGTCCCGGCACACCGCTAGACGGTTAACTGGCTGCTCCTGTCCCGAACGCCTGTGCGTCTTGGAGCTTCTCACTTCTAATTCCTTCCTTCCTTTCCATCTTAATTCCTTCATTAATTCCTTCTCATCTCTTCTGCCTGCCTTTTGCTGCCCAGGACATAGTCAATCTCCGTTGCTTTGCTTTGCCTCTGCCGCATCATCGGTGTGTCTCTGCATGTCCCAGTGTTCTTCACCTCCCCACTTTGCGTTGTACATGGTCCTGTACTCTTCATTGCTTCTCAATCGCGCGAACTTGATGATGTACGGGTACTTGTTGTAATCCGGCCACTTTGTCTTTGCATTTGCTTCGGCCCAACCAGCTCGCCAATTGTCATACACCACATCGTAGTAGTCTTTGTGCACGTGGAAATGCAGGAGCTTTGGGTCTTCTTCGTTTCGCACCAGCTTGAAGATCACAAGTTTGTCTTCTGTGCGCATCGCCAGTTTCTCTTGCCACTTGACAGCAATTTTTCCCCATGTACCGGCCAGGTCACTCTTGTCATTGGTGGTGACGATGTGTAGCGCGGCATTGATCGCTTGGTTGATGTCTCTCTCCATGTCACTTACCTGCGGTGAGAAAGTGATCCTGTGTGGTTGGCCAGAGTGGTGGTACACCGTAGCGTTGTTGTGGTCCCAAACAGTGGCTGGAAACCTCTTGTTGTATCTGCGGTACACGTAGCTCTCAAACTCAAGTTTGGCCTTTTCTGTTTTCCAGTTCATGATGGTGACGGTGGATGGCTTGTACCGCCCGTACACGTTCCTGCCATGCGTCGGTGTGTACTGTCCTTCGACCCCGGCCTTCTCTGCGTAGTATCTGATGACTCTCTCCCTGTCTTCGTCGTAGAACTCACTTGGCCAAGGTTTGACCACTGTCTGGAGGAGTGCATCTCGTTGCTGTTGTCTGAAAAGCGTCTGATGTGTGTTAGCCGCAAGTGCTTCCAAGTCCTGTAGATCATACTGCAAATCTTCGTGCATCCTTTCCATGTCCTTCATGTTATTCTGCATGTCGATCAACTGTTGCTGCATGTCACGAATGTTTGGTGGGGGGTTGTCACCACTCATGGTGTCAACCATTTTCTCGAGGACCTCGTTGGCTTTCTTGAGCTGGGTCTCCATCTTCTGCGTGAGTTCTGTTGCGCTTGATGCAGCTATCTTCGGCTTTTTGGCAGTTTTGGGGGTGGTTGCTTGCATGGTTCTTTCTACCACACTCGCAATCTGCTGTTTCCATCTTTTGTCCGGTGCTTTGGCTTTGGCGGATTTCCAATAATATGTTCTGCTACTGGAAGCTTGCTCCTCCTCGTCTTGGAAAAGTTCACGTGGTATGGCATCTGGCATCTCATC